ATCAATTCCCGGAGATTTTTTTATTTTAAGTTGAGATACAATATCGTTAACTGTGTCATAAGAAATGCTAGAAAAATTTTCAATGCTTGAATTCTCAATTGTAGTCATAGAACTGTCAACCACCATCTTGGTAGCCGCATCGCTCAGATGTTCGTTGATTGAATACTTCTCACAAAAGTATTGTGCCAGGGCGTTTGCCTTTTCACTATTTGTAGTATGGAAAGTGTCATTGTATCTTATGGCAGGGATAAATTTATTCTTACCTTTAATTATTTTGGCCAATTTCCAAAATGGCCTAGATGCTTTTTTCAATGACCTCAGAGTAGAAGACCATTTTATGTTCCGAAATTTAATTATTTCAGCCCTAATTAAATCATTAAAATAATACAATTGCACTGAGTGCAAAAACGCCCTAGTTCTATAAAATTTTCTCCTAATTATATTTCTTTTTTTTATAATTTTAATTATATAAGATGGCAAACTTGTATTACCTAATTTAATTGGTTTTCTAGGAACAGAAAGTTCGACAGCTGCCAACACTTGCGAATTAAGATAAGACACTGCATTGTCTATTTGATAACTGTGATCGAGAGAATGATCCAAATCCAAATTGGTAAAAGTATCCTTAAGATACTCCCGATATTTTACCCAGTCCGCATTCACAAAATCCAAATAAGTGCGTTCATATAAATTTGCTCCATCCCTAATTTGTAATTTCACAGGTAAATGAGCAGACGAGAGGTTGTTTACCACAACAGGTTGAGTAAACCATTCCGGTGAATTTGTTAAAAAGAAATCAAGCGTGGAAGGTTTAATCGAATTATTAGTTGGGATATAAGTTGACTCGTTAGGAAAAAGTATAGTAAATTTGTTCATTGTTATAAGATCTTGCAACGAGTTACCCCAGGAATTAGCACGAACACATCCCCAGGCCCTATGTCTTGAATTTAGGTCACCCCCTATAAGAAAACCACCAGATAACCGTGACAATTTTAAAAGGTCTTTTCTAAAGATACTTTTTATACTTAATCTATCATTACTATTCAAATTTAATTTGTCTATATAGTTCTTCGTACCTGAAAAGTAAACCGAAAAAAGTTTCAAATATTTATCATTATTTAATTGTATTTCTATACCAACATTTTCTATTAATTGCGTATCTACCACATGTGTCATAGTATGTCGCACATCCTTTCTAACAAGTATGGCAACCCCGCCACCACCACACACTGTACGATCATTTCTATAAGTATAATAGTCCGGAGAAGCTAATTTTGTTTTGTTGCTTAGCCAAGTCTCACACAAAAGCACGATATGTATATTATTGTGTATTATAAAATCAAAAAATTCTACATTCTTATTATTAATGGAAGTAGCATTCCAAGTTAGTACATTAATTATGTTTGTATTAGTCATATTTATTATGATTAATATTAAACAGAAAACAATAAAAATTTCCTCTTGTCGACAAAAACAAGAAAAAAAGTAATATTTCAGGTATACCAGAGATGCATACGTAATAAATAGAACTGTGCAACAACAAATAAATACAAAATTGTTTTTGAATAATAGAATTTAATCGAAGAAGAAACTCGTTGTTAAATAAAAATTTGTGAAAAATAAGAGCTATTGTTTCAAATAAAATTAACAAGAGAATTGTAAAATTATAATTTCTATAAGTTAAGTATATTCTAGTATACATTGAAAATATCATTATGTACCTAACCAATATTAATAATAAAACCACATGTCGATTATACATTGATATTGTATAAGTACTTTGTGGCTAATTCTGTAATTACACAAAATTGATCATTTTTGCTTTTACATTGACTTAATTTGTCTAATAATTCGAAAGTTAGTTTGTTAATCTCATCTACAGAGAATAGATTATCATTTTTTCTTAAATTATTGTTAATATTTTGTTTATTAGTGTTAGTGTTATTGTTATTAGTTCGATTAATATTACTGTTGAAAAGATACCAGTGGGATTGCTGATTCTGCAATCCAGCGTTTGCATCGCCAATTACTTTGGGGAATTGTTGGTTATAATTTTCACTAATAAATCCACTTTGTCTATTGGAAGTTGGTGACTTTTTTTTACTTTTATTTATAATAGCAATGTAAGCTAGTCTACCCGGACACGTGGCTTCAGTAGAGTAATGCTGTCCTTTGCAATTCGCACATTTTGGATTTTCTTTGTTTAAGCAATCGGTTGATTTGTGAGATTCGCCACAATAGGCACAGTAAGTTTTAATGTGACAATTTTTTGATCCATGGCCAAACAATTGGCAATTGTAACATTGTGTTATTTTATTAGGGGATTTAATTTTGTATTCCCATTTAACTTTTGTATAGTTAATATAACAGAAATCTCTTTTGAGCACAGTCATATTAATACTTTTATTTTCAAAATATATTATATAAAAATTTAGTTCTTTATTGAACTTGCTAATTTTTGTGATTATTTTCACATCGATACATTTCAATCCAAGATTGATCAATATCTTTTTAAGTTCGTCTGTATCAATTTTGTCGAGGCCTGATAAAACAGCTTTAAATGGCTTATTACTTTTAAAATCGTGTAAAAAGAATTCACTTTTATTATTTTTTAGCTCGTTACAAATAATATTATATGATTCAGTGGTTTTAGCATAAATTTTAACACCCAATGATATAGTTTGAACGAAATAGTTAACAACATTTAATTTTTTCATCATTTCGTGAATTTTATTTACACTGCATCTAACTAAGGTTATAGGTGGAATTTTAACAATTTTATTTGTGGTATTCTCATCAAGTATCTGCGCATCTGAATTTTCATTTAAAATTTGTAATGGTGCAAAATAATTTGCTGATTCAGGAACAGGATTTAATTTTTTATTTTTCGGTTTTTTGTTACCCGCCATATTGTTAAGCGTTGATGCTTCGTGAGCATCATACAAATTCGCTACCGATCGTTTTAGACTAATTTTTCTTTTTATTTTTTATTTTTATTTTTAGCTTATTGAAGTGCACTCAGTGCTAGCAACAAGTGAACTGATCACAGCACTTTCAATCTAATTAATCTACTTTTCATCTACTTTTCAAAAAATATTTTAATAATCTCCTCATTGTTGTTTCAAACACAAAATTTAGATTATTAAATTTATGCAAAATAAACACCCTGTATACGATGATTTAAAAATGAATAAAAAAAAAGAGAAAAAATAAACAAACAATTTCATACCATAAAGAAAATTTTAAAATCAGTACTTTAAAAATTTGTTTTGATTTTTCTTTTAGAAAGCATAATAAAAAGGAAAAACTTCTTCTATTCACAACCATTGATGAAAACTTCATCTTTAAGAGAGAAAGAACAAAAGACAAAAATAATAAAAACAAAAGCAAAAAGAATAAGATAATAAAATTCTCAATAAATACAAACTTTTCTTGAAGTTATTCAACAAATGAACCAATCGGAATTTTAAAAGGAAATATGAAAAATTTTCAAAACTTTTCAAATTTTTAAGGATACTTTTATGTATTCTAAGTAGAAAATAAGTAAAAAACGAAAAAGAAAAAAAATCTTTTTAAAAATAACAAAAACTTTCTATATACTTTTTGAATTTTCAAGAAAATATGGAATAATAAGTTTTTATAATACAAAATGAAAATTAAATTAAAAATGGTCGAATTTACTTGAAAACTTAAAAAGAAAATTTTCTTTTTTATATACTTAGTATATGAGGAGTAAGAGTTCGTCAAAATCAAATAATAAAACAAAAATTGAGTCTTTATAAAAATTTTTTAAATAAAATTTATTAGTCAGTAGTATTAATATACATATATATACATGTACATACATATATACACAATTTAAATACATGAATCTATATAAAGTAAGCGTACAAGAAGAAAAAATTTTTGAAAAACTGCCACACGAAATTCAATCAATTTTATAAATTCTTTATTTTGTTATACAGGCTAGTTATTTATTAGGTATCTGCACAAATTCTATTGCATTCTACATTAAAATCTGTATGTTTTTTTTACAAGTTCGACTGAAACAATTTTGATGAAAATTTATGAGTTTAATTTGTCATGGGCAAATCAACTTTTATGGAATACTCGTATGTTTGATTGATTTTAAATTTTTGATAATTTTTTCAGAAAATATTCAAAAGATTAATTTGAAATTTTATATACGAGCTTCGTCTGACAGTACGGCTTCAACTTCTTTCAAGGAAAGAAGTAACAAGAAGTAAAAGGAAAGTTTTTTAAGGAAATCATATGTCTTAAAAAATATCAAATAATAATTTCTTTGAAATTTAATAATTATATTCTGAACTTTAAAACAATGAACTTTTTGGGGCTATTCGACAACCGAACATTCTCTAGGGAACTAATAAATGACTAATTTTGGAAATTTAATATTTTAGTTTTTGTTACTACAGTAACTAACTGCTGAACTTTTTCAAAGTTTCTCAGAACACTGTTTCTTAGAGTCCTTAATATATTAAAGACTACAATATTTTCATGATGTGGTTCAACAATTTTACTAAACTATAGAGAATCCACCTTGCGGTCGAATATGTGTTGAACATGTTAAAAAATGAAAAAATTTTTTGGTAAAAATATGTTGGGTATTATTAATATTTGCATTAAAATTTTTATAAGTGCTTCTCTTACACTAGTGATTATTACGCATAGGAACGAACATTGCTTTTCGTCATAAAAAAAAAAAAGAAAATAGAAACTTAGAAAACCTATTTTTTTTTTCATTCCAAAATATTTTTAATAATTTCAAAAATATTTGTTACGAGAACTAATATGTGGTTTAAAATTGTACCTCACTGCTGTGTGAAACATTGTTAATCATGGTAATTTAAAAGAAATTTCTGTTTAGCAAAATATTTCTAAGTATCTTGCATCTGCAATTTTACTTTTTATAAAATCTTTATAAAGTGCAGTATTTGTAAAAATTATTACAAAATCTACAAAACAATATTTTTTAGTGTTTATACATTTTTTTTTATAACAAATCCACTTCCACTATCACCTTTACATGCAGATGAACCAATTTTATTTATGGCACAGAATTTATCATTTGTAATCTCAGATTTATAGTTTGCACCAACCATAACTTTACATTCCTGTTTTGTCAAAGATTTTAAATCTGCTCTTTGTAAATTATTACTGTATTCATAATCTATAGATTTCGCCCCCCATCCAACAATTTGCCCATCCAAATCTCCAGGAATAATAGGTAAATTGAAGTCGATGCATACCAGTTTAATATTCCATGTATATTTCATATGATGATCGAGTACTAAAATCCTTCATAACTAAAAGTTAATTAGAATATGAAATTAACAACTCGTTTAATATATAATTCTTACATATATATAAAGTTCTAATTAGTATTATATGAAGAAAGCTCTATTTATTTTACACTTACATCTCGGGAATGTGTATAATTATCACGTTAGCATAATGCTCCGATTCTTCTTCTATTTCATATTGTCATAAAGTCTGCGTACTTTATATTGCTTTAGATTCATTATATCTCAATCTTGGTATTCGTATTTTAAAGATATTTGGAAGGTTAATCCAAATTTTTGTGTCTAAGTCATAATCATAATTTAAATATAGTTTTTTAGTTAAAATTCTTCTTTCTGACAAAATAATTGTTTTATTTGAAGTAAATTCAAATATTTTAGCATACCAGGCAGGATATTCAAAATCAGGATTATGAATTAAATTAAATGATAAATTAGTTTTATCACAATCTGCTCGGTAGCTGATTATTTCCATATTCCATTTACCATTTTTTCTTGGCAATCAATAGTTAAATGTGACTTATTTTTGTGGTATACCCATACATGATGTTCCTTTTACAAAATCACTTTCACAAAATACTTTGTAACCAACAGAACGAGATAAATAATGAAGAGAACATTGCTTAGTACTTAAAAAATTAAAGCAAATTACCATTATAACAATTATATTGATTAAAATATAATTGCCTTTCATTTTTTTAAATTTGAGCATCGAATTGCATTAATAAACCGTAGTCAATTAATTTTTATAATATAAACGCTTACAATTTAATATGTCGAACAAATTTACTTAAAAATAAAAAACACTAATTTGTAAGAGCCGAAGACAAGAGCTTTTTTCTAATAATATTTTAAATATTTAAAAATAATTTTGATTTTTCTATACGGGTTTTGACTCTTCTTCAACTTTAAAGATAACCTCATGGCAATTAAAGTCATTCACGTTTAAATATTGTCATTGACGTTTAAATATTTTCCAGTGTTATCAACAACTTTGGAAACAATTTTTGTATGAACAAGTTTTTTGAAAAGAATTTCTCTAATAGCTTTTAGATGAAAATAATTATAGAAAGAAAAATTTCAACAATAGTAACATAAAAATGTTTAATCTGAAAATATGAGGTGGAAAGCAAATATTGTAATGAGAAATAATTACAATTATTCTAATAAAATAAAATTTAATATTCAAATTTAATCAAACTTGAATTCATTAAATTGCGATTTAAAATCAAAAGAATTTGTAAGTTTTTTTAATGTAAAATAAACAAGTTTTCAAGAGTGAAATAAAATGTGAGTTAAAATAAAGTAAGAAGAATACGAATTTTAGATTTACATTTTAGAATTTGAAACTATCGTTCTTAACATTGTACTGAGACTGCAAAAGGAGAAAATAAAGTACAAAATATCAAAACATTTTCAAAGTTTTTTCAAATATTTTTTTATTTAAATTTATTATTAATCATTATCAACAATAGCATCATGGTTGCCTCTCAAACCGAAAGCAATAATCAATTCATTCAAGCATTGTATCGGAAAATACTTATGTTTTATTTGATAAAAGTAAGGATGGTAACAAACTAAATTAAAATTAAGCTGGATCAAACTAATGGTTGGTATTGTAGCACTTTTCCTTTTAACAAGTTCCATTTTAAAAAGAAATACTTCTTTTAAAAATAGTCTATGTATACCTACCACACTATTAAAATTATTTTCATTCATACATATACAAAATTATTTCTAGGATTGCATATATTTAGAATGAACAATTTATGCAGTCTTTGAAATAAAGAAAAAATTAATATAAAGAGGGATTCGATAATGCTAGATTTTAAGGGTTAATTGTGTGAGCTAAGAAAAATAATTATATTTTTTAATGACGTGGAGTTTACCGTTACCTTTCTGTGTTTATAGAAATTTAAAATTAAATTTCGATAATATAAGGTGCCAAATATTCAAATTTTACAAATTTCGATAGGCGATAACTTAAGAGGGGATTGAGGTGGAAAAAAATTTTCTTCCAACGAAATGAACTACTTATTAGTGTCTAAAAGATTTGAGGTTCCTACAACGTACGGTGTAGAAAAAAATCGTGATTAAAAATTTGAAAAAAACTGACTTCAGATAACAGTAAATTTTAGTGGCCATTTTGTTTTTTAAAGTTAAAGTTTAGTATGCCGCGGTAGAGGAAGCCAGCAAATATATTTCGCGTTTGAAAATTGTAAAAAATGCATATGGTTATACTGCAATAAATAGTTGAAAAATGGTATTTTTAGGATTTTGTGAGGGTATAGCTTTTAGAGGGGAGGAGATAGGTAAAAATTTTGTTTTTGAAAATTAGTTTCTAGTATAGATCTATGTACATATAAAATATCAGCTTTTTATCTTCAAGAGTGTAGAAGTTTTGTAAATAAACACACGGACAGACACGGATGGACGGACGGACAAAATGAAACTAATTAGCACTTTTTTCAAAAATTTTTTTTTTTGCAAATTTGCTTGATATTACGCAAAATGCTATATTATGCAATTATTATGTAGAATTTTTAAAATTAAAATTCAAAAAGTTCAGATAGAGATTCTTAAGCTAGAATATAAAATACTTTTCAATAATTTAAAGAAATTATTTTTCTTTTTTAATAATTTCCAATAACCATGCTTAATTTACATTAAAATCATTATTATTATTATTACTCGTATTATGAGAAAAATTATGAAAATTATATATTTGCCCAGTAATTTCATATATACAAACATTTAATAAAAACGCTTGTCAAACTATTTACTGTGTATAATAAAAATATAAAAGTACATTATTGAAATAATTTTAAATAACAATAATTCATAAAAATTTAAATAATTTTCAACAATAATTTTTGTTATTATAGGAATGTAAATAATAATAGCAATGATAATATCTTTTGTTATATTAAATAAAATTTGGAAAAAAAAGCATAAATATCCTGTGAAAATATTTACGTTTCTGAATTTTTATTATCAGCTAACAATTCAAATTATTGTGCTGCTATAAATTTTAATAAATTCTTTTACTTTTGTTGCATGGAATAAATTTAAAAATATATTTTGTGAATGTAATGAATTATTTTTTATAATGTTAAGAAAAAATTGCATGTAATGAAATTTCAATATATAGCCAAATGGGTCAAAGGAAATTTACGAGATTATTTCGAAAACATATTTGAAAAGCTCTGTTAATTGCAAAAAATATCGAAATACTCATTAATTCTAAGTAAATATCAAATTTTGATTTATTTAAATTAATAATAAATATAGATTTTCGTTTATTAATACATAAATAGTGCTTCGTACTAACTACAACTTTTATAATTATCTACTGATAATATAGGAACATTATATGAAATAAATTAAGGAAAAATAGAAATTCAAAAAAAAAAAATTTTTTTTCTCACAAATCTTACATTCTAAAATATTTTTGATGATTTTGGAAAACATTTAATAAATTTACTATGCCATAATTTCATACTGACATATCTTGTTGTACTGACATAGTATCGAAATGACATATTATGTCGCACTAACATAATTTTTGTACTGACATATGTCTCACTGACATAGTTGTCATGACGTATTTTATAAAATGTCGTAATTTCTGTTACTTGAGTGAAATTTTTGTTGCGACAAATATTTGTCGTATTCTTTGCTGTTAATAAAATGTAAAAATCTTGCATCTGCAACTTTACTTTTTATAAAATCTGCATAGGGTGTAATTATAGTAAAAGTCGTTACGAAATCTGCAGAACAATGTTTTTCGGAGTTTATGCCTGTACTTGTAATACCAACCAAAAAATATCTCACTTTATTGCCAATATTTTTTTTTATAACAAATCCACCTCCACTATCACCTTGACATGCAGATGAACCAATTTTATTTATGGCACAGAATTTATCCTTTGTAATTTCAGATTTATAGTTTGGACCAACCATGGCTTTACATTCCTGTTTTGTCAAAGATTTTAAATCTGCTCTTTGTAGTTTATTACTATATTCACCATCTATAGATTTCGCCCCCCATCCAACAATTTGCCCTTCCAAATCTCCAGGAATAATAGGTAAATTGAAATCGATGCATACCGGTTTAATATTCCGTGTATATTGCATATGATGATCAAGTACTAAAACTGCGATGTCATTTCGAATTGGAAATGATTCATAGCTAAAAGTTAATTAGAATGTGAAATCAACAATTTCCGTTTAATATATAATTCTTACATATATATATAAAGTTCTTATTAGTATTATATGAAGAAAGCTCTATTTATTTTACACTTACATCTCGGGAATGTGTATAATTATCACGTTAGCATAATGTTCCGATTCTTCTTCTGCTTCATATTGTCGATAATATTTTCCAGCTCCAATTATATAATTTGAAGCATTGTTTAGTTTTCCTAAATCCGTATTATAAAAGCAATGAGCAGCTGATAGAATTACATTAGAATGAATAATACTGCCACCACATATTTGTTGAAAAGTTCTACTTTCTTTACGGTAAACAGCAACATGCCATGGAGCAAATCCAATATCAGTCTTGTTTCCTTTATATATCAATGGTATTTCTTTTGTGTGATGGTTTTTATGAACTTCTCCACAAACTAACTCGCACCTATCGCTTTTTGGTATAGTTCGGTAACTCCAATCTCTCATGGGAGCACAGAAATCGAGAAAGTCTTGAGATTTGCGAAAAGTTTTTTGCTTATAACCTAGTTTACATCTTAAAAGTTTGAAATTTGCTCTATTTAAACATTGAGCAGGTTTACTGTTGCGTAAGTCGAAACCCAAGTTATCAAAGCATGCTATTTCCGTACCATTTTTATTCAATATATTTGGTACTTTACATCGATTAATCCGCGCAGAAGGCAATCGATCTTCTAGGAATCTATAACGCAAAATTTTATTTATGAGCAAAAAGAAAATACATTTTGTATTGTGATTATCTTACGAGTGAAATTCGAAACGGTTCTTATTAGGAATTGAAACTTTTGCTGGTTTTTGACTTTCCTTATAATACACTTCAGTGCAAGCAGGCAAAATAACGTCATCATATTCGATATAAGTTGCATTTTCGAAATAAGGTAACATCATTATTACATATTCTTTTGTTTCACTCTCAATAGATATTGGAAAAAGTAAATCGTTCTTGTGAAGTCTGCGTACTTCATATTCTTTAGGTTCATTATATCTCAATCTTGGTATTCGTATTTTAAAAATGTTTGGAAGCTCAATCCAAGTATTTGTGCCCAAGTCAAGGTCATCTTTTAAATATTGTTTTTTAGTTAAAATTCTTCTTTCTGATAGGATTATTCCTGGGTATACATTTTTTATTGTTTTTCGATTTGGACCTAATTCAAGTATCTCAGCATACCAAGAAGGATATTCAGTTTTAGGATCACTAATTAAATTTAATGATAAATTAGTTTTATCACAATCTGCTCGACA